AGTTGAGAGGATTGATGTGCAGAGGAGGATTACCTCGGGGTGTTCTTCGCAGATGTCATCGGCGTTAGAGTAGAAAGAGACGCCAATCTCGGCGGCGGCGGCGGAATAATCGGTGCGAGAGTGTGCAAGGACGGTGTGGCCTTGACGGACTAGGGTTTTTGCAAGGAATTGGCCGAAGTTGCCGAACCCTACAATGGCAATTTTTAGGGTTTTGGATTTGGCAATGTGGTCGGAGATTTTGGATTCGTAGTCAAAGGGTTGAGCGGCGTCTATGGCGGAGATTCTGAAATTATGTCGGAGACGTAGGGTTTTGGTGTTCCGGATATGAGTCGACGGCGGCGGCGGCACAAGATGGGATAGAGAGTGGCGGCTGTATCGGCCGCGATTGAGGTGGTGGAGGTCGGAAAGATTGGAGAATTTAGATATCGTCGGAGAAATGGAAAGCATTTTCCGACGAAGGTACTGATGTGGGGAAATCACCAAATTAAACGGTACCCACGAAGAAAAGGTCCCTTTTTTATTTGGATTTGGTTATGTTGTTGTGAGAAAATGGATGTGTTGAAAATCAATTTGATTTTTGATCTGGTGGGAGAATGGAGAAATAAGCAGATGAAATCAATGGGGAATGAGAGATGAAAACCAGTGTCTGTGAAGAAGAAAATGGATGTGGAGGCGACGATAGGAATGAATAACTCGTTTAACTCGTTAACTTATTATTAAACACTAAAATTCAAAAAGGAAATATTTTCTTAAATATAGTTATGGAAGTACCTTCTTTTCAAAAGCTTTGTATTTTGTTAGACTCGACAAAAACGATATTTTTAGGGGATAATGACTGAAAGGGTAACAAACTTTCGATTTTTGTCACATTTAGTCACTAAACTTTTTTTCATTATCTATTTGCCATTGAACTATTGAAACTGTTCACATTTTACCCTTATGACCGGCTATTGCCGGTCATAAGGGTAAAATGTGAACAGTTTCAATAGTTCAATGGCAAACAGATAACAAAAAAAGTTTAGTGACTAAATATGAACAAAATCGAAAGTTCGTTTCCCTCTAAAAAGTTCAATGACTAAATGTGAACAAACCTCCTCTTGTATTATATTTTAGCAAATTATTTATTTTTGTTAAATTGTAGCAAAATTAGTTGATAAAGAAAACTATGAAATAAAAAAAAAACAAAACAAAACCCTGAAAATATATTTAAAAAAACAAAAAACCAAAACCGAAATAAAAAAACCAATGGTTTGACATTTTCAGAAATAAAAAATCAAAATTTCCAATCTGATTTTGGTTTTACAAAAAAAATGAACCATTCTCACTGATGTGAATTATGACCATTGGTTTGGCATGCGAAATTTGTGACATCCCATGAATATGTAGTTACAACATCGTCTGAAATCGTAATTCATAGTAAGGGGTTAGAGTATCACCACATAAATACGTAGTTACAACATCGCATGAACTCGTAATTCATCACCTACAGGTTATTGGTCTGCTGGTGTTTCCACTAGGTTATCTAGAATAGTCCGTGGTCGCCATCTATACTCTGGTAGATGACTACATCGCCACATTGCTGGTAAAGGTTATGGTATCTCCTTTCATCCTACATCACATATTCATCATCATCTATTTACCTAATTATCACCACCTTTCTATCATCACCTATCTCTCATCATTTTATTTCATCACACACCAACTATTTTATCTACCCATGTTTCATCCGCAACATATTTGTAGATATAAAATAAATATACCGTTTAAATCTTTTAAAACATGTATAAAATCGTTCATCCAGTATAGACCACAAGTATTCAAATAATATACACATAGCACGTAATTGATATAAAATACTTCATATCTATGTGTAAGATGAAAGTAATTATATATACCATAAATGATTCCTAACTTTGAACCCCCAAGGTTTACTCTACTAAAACTTCATATTCTCGGCTCTCTGAACCTATAAGGGTTCACATCTATCACAGCAAAAAGCTCAAGATAGCTCTTCCTCTCACTCTACACACTCAAGCTCGCTAGGGTTCTCACTTATGGGAAAGGTAGTCACAATTGAAGGCCATAAATGCCTTTAAATTTGGCTCGAGCCCAAAGATTTAGGGTTTCTGCCAATAGCGCGAACTCGTCGAGTCGCCTCACTGACTCGTCGAGTCCATTCATTAATCCGAGTCATCAGTCGCGACCTTACTCGACGAGTTGAAGCGTCAACTCGTCGAGTCTCTCTTCTTAACTCAAAAGAAAAATACTTAAATGATGATACCTGGAAATCCGGATGTTACATTTTATTTTTTATTTCATAGATTTCTTCATCAACAAATGTTGCTACAATTAAACAAAAATAAATAGTTTTGCTAAAACATAATACAATAGGAAGTTTGTTCACATTTAGTCATTGAATTTTTTAGAGGGAAATGAACTTTCGATTTTGTTCACATTTAGTCACTAAACTTTTTTCCATTATCTATTTGCCACTAAACTATTGATACTGTTCACATTTTACCCTTATGACCGGTAACAGCCGGTCATAAGGGTAAAATGTGAACAGTTTCAATAGTTCAATGGCAAATAGATAACGAAAAAAAGTTTAGTGACTAAATGTGACAAAAGTCAAAAGTTTGTTACCCTTTCAAGTCATTATCCCTATTTTTAGAGACTCGTGGTTGCATTTTTAGGTTATACTGTACAACAACTCAACAGGACAGCCGTCATAGGCAATGCTAAAGTTTACCAACGTGGTAGATGGAGTCTATAGGGTTGGCATATTTCGATATGATACAACCTCTACAGTCTACACATTACCAATGCATTAGAGGAGCCTAAAAAATTATTTGGTTTTGATTCAAAAAAAAAATAGTGGTACATAGGTGGTGTTAAGTAAAAGTTTTTTTGAAAAAGATAAAATTTAAAAATATTTGGTAAAAATATTTTAAAAACTATTTTTAGATTTTGGATATAAGAAAAACTGATTTTTTGAAAAAGTCAGAAAAATCTAATTTTTTGTAACTTTTTCAAAAATAACTTTTATCTCTTAAAAATATAAGCCAAACACCCTTATAGTGGTCTAATTTTGAATCTTTTTAGTGTTTATAGTCCTTGTACACTTAAAAAGACTATTATACCCTTTAAATTTATCTTTTTAATTTTTTAATAAGAAATTAATATCCTCCTACCATTTGTTCCTACATTTCTTCCTACCATGTCAAATGTTGACAAGTGGATTAAATGATTATTAATTTCATTAAATATCTAATCAAATGTGATACATGTCAACATTTGATATGGTAGACGGAAAAGTATGAACAAATAGTATGAGAATATTTAATTTCTCTTTTTTAATATTTATATTAATGTTTTTAAATAATTAAATATACTAAAAGTCTCTCTCACACACACTTATACACAATCTCTCTTTCTCTCTTCTTCCGCCACTATCACCATTCCCCACCATTATTTGCTACCAACCATCGCTATTCCCCACCACGATCTGATATCCCTTCACTACTATTCATCGGATTTTTTTCAGGAAAACCATACCAGATGCCTCGCCCTCCCAGATCTCACTGGAAAATCAAACCAAAAGCTTCGTCGAGCTGCACCATCTTCTCACCATCCAAAAGACCTGAAACGATGGAAAATTAACGAATTTAAAGAAGATGACTTCGATTTGAGGGGTTCAACATGTCTCTCTTCTTCCCCGTGTATGAATCTGTAGAGCGACATGTTTAAAGAACAGATATGGTATGTCGGTATTCTTTGCATATCTGAAAACAAACATATAGCGTTACGATGACGCTACCAGAAAAGACGAATGAGTGGTGGGAGGTGGGTCACATCGCTGGAGTTTGCGTCTGGGTCGCAAGCAATCATCACCAGAGTTTTCTAGGGGGAGGTGTTGCACAAGCAGGGGTGACAGTGGTGGTGTAGGTGGTGGTTTCCGAGAGCCAGTAGAAGAAAGGGAGATTATAGAGTGATTATGTTGCGAGAGAGAGAGAGAGAGAGAGTAGGGTGGGAATGGGGGTGGTAATTTCTTTTTTTTTTCTTTTAATTAAAACAATAATAAATAAAAGAAAAGAAATTAAAAATGAAATATGTAAGGGTATATTGGTCATTTTAGGTGGAGTGTAGACCAAAACCACACAAAAATATCAATCATAGGACCAAAACCACACAAAGTATCTGAAATTGACCACTGAAATTGACCACTGATGCACCATCAAAAAAAATTTGGACCAAAATCATAGAATTTTGTCAATCACAGGGACAATTTTTGCAATTTTGTCGTTTAGATCAGATATTACAACTTGTTTACTTCCCTGTTGACATGACATGATATTAAATTAAATAGGTAATGTTAGGATCTATACTTTAAATAAGAAAATGATTTGTTAAATTATATGCATCTTTTCTTAATCTTTTAGGTAAATTGGGTAAACCCAAAATCAAAATAAAAGAAACATTTACGTTGAGTCGTTACAAAAACCAGTAATTAGCTCCCTAAGTCAAGACTTATTTGTAGTTTTCATTTTTTCATTAATATCTAATACTTCACAATCTCATTCGGTTACTTCCCCTCCAATGTGACTTACATCTTATAAACTTATTCTGAATTTTGCCTCTTCACCTACCAACTAATAATCCTTCATGATTTTTCACTTTATTTTTCCACATATCCAACTCTTTCAACATGTTTATGGTGCGTTTGGTTGTGGAAAATTGTTTTCATTTTCTAAGAAAATGTTTTCAGAAAATAGAGTTGAGTTTTCATTTGCAATTTTCAATAAAAATTTTAGAAAACACGTTTGGTTGAAACCGGTGGAGTTTTTATTTTCCATCTTATAAATTTGGAAAACTGTAAAAATTACTTTTCTAATTTATATACAATTTGGAAAACTGGAAATTTTCATTTTCTTGGAAAATTTTGGAAAAATGAACGAACCGAACGTGTTTTCAAAATTTCCGTTTTTTCTTGAAAAAAATTTCTAGAAAGCTGGAAAATTTTCTACAACCAAACGCACCATTAGTGTTTCAATCTAAAACAACATTGCAT